TTTTTATAAACTCTCATCGCTGGACCATTGTGAATGATCCCTCCCGTTTACACAGTCCCTAAACTTCCCAGGATACTCTTTCCGGAGTTCTTGGATAACCGAACAGGCCTTAACATCCCAAAATTTTGTGGTGGTGTGTCGTGTTTCATTAAATTGGACCTTGTCTAACAAAACGTTTGAAAGCTACCAAAACGTTTGTCTTCCAAGTTTAATTAAGTTGATGCAAATTATATTATAAAAGAACGCTGTTTTGCAGTGGTGCACTCTACTTTTCTAATATTGTTGGAATCATACAAAGGACAAATGATGAGAAGAGTAGTGGAACTGGAAAGAGAGTTTTGTATTTGGTGAATGGGACTCCTAACTTGTAACAGTTCACTTTTCTTTGGCAATCATCAATCAAAGAATCCATTTCTGTTTCTGCTGTCTTTGATGATACAAAAGAGGTAGAAAACTAGCCCTTCCTGCTTTTTAAGTATTGTTGTGGATTTTAATCTTCTGGACCAAGATGAATACAACCCAACAAACATACTCACCTCTACAACCACTCAACTTGGGCTGCTTCGTATCTGCACACACAATCATATATCTTTCCTTTAATCAACTTTTCTGCCAACCTCTGATTCTTCACCATTGCAAGCTGCAAATCCAAAAGCAAATGCAAATGAATTCTTAATGTTTGGTTAGTTAAGAGGTTTTTCAGTTTTTTTTTTTTTAAGCTATCATATCTATCATATACAATGATACCATTCAGATTAATGCACTCTACCTTTAGGGCATCACATTTAAACCGAGCATTGAAGTTGGTGTGAAGAGACCTACCCATCCCCTCCAAGATAATCTGCATCCCAAAACTCTTTCACCTTATTAACAAAATAATCTATATATGCTTCCTCGTCATTTAATCTTCAAAAGAAAATAAAACCAACATACCAAATCTGCATCTTTTGCTGCTGCAGCTAGCTCCGAGCTGACCTGTCTTAAATCAATGCATGGACTCCCACACCCATTCTCAACAACCATCAGAGGAACTGAAGCTGAATTTTCTTTGCAACTGTCCAAGGTGTTTACCATTGCGTCCACAATTAGGCCTCCAGCTTCAGCTGCTCTTCGAAGGATGTCACAGTGCTGTAGAGAAGAAACAATCAGTTTACCATGTTCAATGTACAATGGCTAGCACCAACAACAAAACGTAAGGGAAAAGCTAAAAATGACAAAGAAAAAAAACCTTTGCAGCCTCTGCAACAATATCAGGGAGCTCCATTGCGGTTACATCATTTATTGCAGGAAGGGAATTTGCAACCAGCACAACCTACAGAAACAATGAAATTGGAATGTAATCAGCCTTTGAGGAAGGAATCAAGTGCAAATGCAGACATGAACACTTGTAATTGCTGTGCCAGGACAGTTTTGAGAATGGTTTTACCAATTAATTGGTCACACTTCATACTGAAAGAGTTGACAACAAATTCTATGCTGACAATTGTAGGTTTAGAATAGATATCTAGCATGCAAAAGCCTCAATTATTTGAGCCAATCTCATCATGTAGTCATTAATCATCAAGAAATCATCCCCAGGAACCAGTAAAATGCCCAACTTACTTCAGTTCCACGCCTGAGTAGTTCCCGAGCTAGTGGAAGCATACCGAGAACAATGTCAGCACCTGAATTATCCACAAATAGTAAAGCTCTCTTATGTGGGGGAGGCTTCTTCCCTCCAGAGCCTAACATCCTCTCCTTAAACAGGTCAAAATCATCCACCTAAGCACAGAAACAAAAGCTCTTCTTGTAAATAATCAATCCTAGGCATAGACTGATATGATGCAAATTGAGTTTTATCAGAAATAATGTTTCTCCACATACCCGCCAAGGTCTCTGCATTTTGTTGCGGCTCATTGTATAAATCTCAATAATTGTTCCTTTATGATATAGATCCACACAGGCACGAGATCCCCAGTCAAATATGTTTGCAGCTAGAACACCCTCAATTAAGGTGAGCAGCCTTGCTTCCTGCAGATGGAAAGAATACATGTCACGTCATGAGGCTGGAAACCAAGAACTATATATATACAATATGTTAATCATTTCTGATAGTTTTCTAATGAACTTCTAATACATAAACTTGATTTTCCCTAGTGAGTTCAAGGCAAAGCAGTTTAGAACATATAGTATTTCTCAAACTCTTACTACTAGTAAGTCCCTTCAATGAAAGGGGAAGAAGGATAAAGTCATGATTATATGTACCTCACTCATACGGTCAAGTTCCACCAACAAATCAGGTAATACAGCAAGGGATGCCTCATTTTCCCTGTTGGTATAGCAAGAAAGCAAAATAATAATGAATAAAATCAAGGAGGTGCCAAGAAAGGAACAATATGAGGATTGTGGTCGGCTACTTAGCAAAAGAAAGTTGAATAGTTAATCAAAACTGTGTGAAGAGGTCTGTAAGCATGTATGCATGTGTGTGTGTGAGAAAGAGATTGGCAAAGATAGAAAACAAGCACATAATAGGTAATGCTCATAACAGGTAATGCTTACAAATCTCAGAGAGAAAAGAAATATTTCTACAGCTTAGCTAAAATAGACTTACCTCTGTTTGATGCTTCTATAAGCATCAACAAAATGAAACTCTCTCAAGCACTCTTCCCTTAATTCCAAAAGATTAGCTAGTCCCAACTTCCCATATGCAGCAGGCTCCTCCATCAACCTATTGGTTGGTTTGGAAGTGAATGATTAACCAAATTGTCTTTCAGATTTTACCAATTTGTCAAATGGGTACAATAGTCAAAACAAAGAAATAGATGTTTCCAGTTTCCTAGAAGCATAAATTAAAAGTTTGCTGGAGTAAGTTACCTTGCCAAGTGAGCAGAGAATGCACGTGCAAATGCATCACCCCTTCTTTTAGCATCATCTGTTCCACCTTCACTTGCCACTGCCTAACATATCACAGATCATGCTCAAAAGTCACACAATAATTTCAGAATCATTAAACTTGTAATTATTTATAAAATCACATTCCTTTCTACCAAAGGATTGAACATTCTCATGTGTGAGAAAGAAAGAGAGGCCTCATGATAACATTTATATATACATTAATATATACCTTATCAACAAGATCTGGCAATTGCTCGGAAAGCACCATAAACCAATACCTGAAGATAAAAATTTACATCCATCTAACTACATTAGTAAATTTTGCCAAATCTGGATATAGAAATCATTATTATTTTCTTGAGAAGTTGCAGGAAGTCTTAAATAAGTAGCATGTTCATGTGTTTACTCACTCTAGCTCATTGTGATCTGAGAGATCAACAGTATTTGGCTCGTACCTGTTGACATGCAAGCTAGCTCAGATTAGAAAGAAGAAAAGAAAACATGAAAGACATAGCAATTAATTAAGGTTTTCCATATGATTATTGACTGTATAAGAAACATTTGTCAGTAAACTCTTGAATATTGTTGCATGTTGCAGCTATAAGAAAAATTAGTTAAAAAGGTGCAGCAATAAGTAAAACTCGCAAGCTCAATTAGAGTGACAGGCAAGAATGGTGTGTAACATCACATACATTTTTGGGTCTGCCAAGAGTGGGAAGACATCCAAACTGGGTACAAGATGGAGAACCCCAACATTTAAAGCACTTGCATCAGAGCGCAAAGTGCCACCTTTGGATGAGGGAACTTCAAAACCACCAAGTCCAGTTGTTCCAGGAGGTGCCATTGGTACAGGTGCAGTAATCTCAGTCCCCTTCAGCACAAACTTCTCCATCCATGAAATCTGTAGTTACCAACTTGTATCAGAAGTGTAGCACGAATTCAAAAAAATCAACATATTGTCTTAAGTTTTCTTATAACAAAAACATGATAAAAGATTATAATTAAATGACACAAAACGTCATGTTTAAATATTAAAAGATCAATATGCTCTTAACTTAACATGCCACTTTTGGGAAATTCAGTCAAGGCTCTGATAATTGACGCAAAAACAAAGCTGTCCCCTACATCTGGTATTGAGTGAGCATAAATTTCAAATATAATTACCTCATCCAGAAATATATATATCCTTAACCAAGCTTTAATCTTAGCAAACCCTCTGTGGATTTCCAGACTGTCTTATAATAGCAGCCAAAATTTGGCTGCTATGCAATCACATCCCAGAGGACAATTCCTTTTCAGTTGTCTCAAGAATCTTGTCATTATAAAGACAGGATTCTGAAAAGATTCCTGGGAATCATCATAGTGGAGAAACATTTTGACAACTTTTAATTAGTGCCATACATCCTATTTCCATGGATGTATAAAATATAGGCACTAAAGAACCTAGATAAAAGGGCTTTATAACTTTACCAACAACTTTGGACAAAAATCAAAAATAAAAACTTCACCAACAGTATTATAGAATGACTATGTCAGATTATCCACCATAAACAGAATACTTTATCAAGGAAAATGAACATGTCCCTTGAGTTCCAAAGTGTAACTAGTCTGCATCTCTAAGAATATCAGTTAGACTCACTTTTTCTCTCTAAAACATGTCATAAGTCCAAAAAGCAGACTGTTATGGCCCAGGAACATAAGCCAGTTATGGCCCAGTAACATAAGCCAGTGGGCATTTACAAAAACTGATTCTAAAATTCTTCTGCTTAACCTCTCACATGGAAGCTCATGAGACTATAATCATTTGGTACCTCAACTAAGTCAGCTTCCAATGAAAATGTTTTAAAAAAATTTTTGATTTATTTATAACAAACATTTAAATAGAAAATTTAAAAATAGCTCAACAAAAGGTTGGGGGAAAGTAGAATTAATTTTTTCATCAAGATGAATTCAAGATTATCATGAAATGAAAATTTCAAAAGGATCTGACCAGGTCCATTAATTTCTAGTGGGTTGTCCTTGACAAGACTTTATAAAGTCCATACTTGCCTTTTCATTCAAGTCACCAAGAGGTGGCCCATGAATCTTTCCTCCGGTGTAGGGCGCTCCCATGGGGAACCTCTCAACCAACTGATGTACCCTCAAGTCATCAAGGCCATGCTTCTCATAGCTCATGAATGCACCTAAAGCTCCTAAAAACCCTTCATGCCGCAAGAACATAGCCTGGGCATCTCCTTTTGACCTAAATAATATATTGTCAATTTTTTTTTGGTAAGAATGAGTCAAATCACTTTGGATCTGATGAGGTTGAAGCTAATCTATATAATCTGATCATGACAATGAAGAGAAAAATAAAAGACTTGCCAAAATTGAACAGCAAAGGAGATTGTGTCCATTGTATAAGCATGACCCCTTATAAAAAATCCTCCAAAAAATATTCGCTTAAGCCCAAATCGAAGTGCATTTAAATAAGATATCTGCAGAGTGAAACAATGAATTCAGACACAGAACATCTAGTGAAACAAAGTAAACCTTAAATTAATCACTTGATTAGTCATCCAAATTTAATTGCATAATTATGATTGCAAAACTGAAAAAGTATGAGGAAATAATTCGCATCAAAGCAAATTAAAAAACAACATAAATATAAATATTTGAACTATGTCTTCAGAAGTTGCAGAGTCTTCCCTTTGTCTACCAAATTCCAAATTATCTGGTGCTTTTAATTTTCTCTCTCTTTATCAAGAATTAAAAGGAGGATCTGACGTGACAAAGAAAAGATCTGAGAGAAGTTGTTCATGAAGGTAACCTAACCTTCTAAGGTACTGCAGACTCACCTGTCCAATATTATATGAGATCATTCGCAACAGAGAAAGAGATATATCTTCAGGTCTGTAATCTTTTAGCTCCTTGTTGTCAGAAATAGCTTTGCCAAAACTTGAAGCTATTGTTGATGCAGAAAGACCAATCTATGATGATATAAGATTACAAGATCGTTAATCTTTACATCAGATTCAGAAAAGTCCATAAGCAGAAATCTGGATAATAAATTGTACGCCCTATGCATCTTATAGTTGTATACCTCTGTTACATATCTCAATAACAAAAAGAAAAGATGATAAATAAGATATACCTTAGAATAATCCATACCACCATAAATATCTCCAACAAGCATGTCTATGGTACTATTGTCACCTTTTTGACTCAACTCTAGCAATTCATCAAAACTGAAATGGAGACAAGATCAAGTACAATGTAGGTGAAAAGTTTTAAACAGAGAAAATGCAAATAAGCAATACAAAATGCTCTAGGAGATAGAAATGACCTTTTGCATTTTGTTAATAGCCTTCCCAATCCCCAATAAGTACCACCACCAACATTTGTCCCACTAACACGCTGAAACTTCCCATCTCCATCAACCTATATCAGACCACAAACTTAAGAGCCTTTACCCCACCACATTTTGAGAGCAGTTCATAGAATGAAGAAAGAAAGCAGATGTACCTTGATCATGCTAACTCCGGATCCAATATTAACAAGAAGATAAGGGAACAGATCATTATGGTCAATCTGCACAAACTCTTTCTGACCCTCCATGTGTGTGAAAGCTTCATGACGAATAGCCTGCTCAATTAGAGGACCCAATTAAAACAAAAAAAAGTACAGCAGAGAACAAAAGCAGACAAAATTACTAGAAATGAAGATGAAAAATACCCTAAAAGATATACAATCAAAACTAATTTAGTTGTATTAATGCATATTACCACATGCTTAAACAGCAAAGAAGTAAAAGATGAAACATCTGATAGCAATGTTGAAAATTTTCAATCAACATTGAGGCCAATAGGATAACAAGTGTTCATTATCATTTTTTTGATGAAACTGATATATGCCTATAGGTTTTAGACGAATTTTGGAACAGAACTAAACCCTAAATTTACAAAATTTTTATGGTTATTCTTTCCAATTTTCCAAAGAGCAAATGAAGTCAAAGAGAGAGAAAATACTTGCTCCAATTAACAGTTAACAAAAGAGCACAAAGAGGATGACCCATAGGTAGCCTTGCAGAGATTAGCTTGTTGTTCTTATATTAGCCCAGCAATTCTAGAACCCATAGGAACCCATAACAAAGTTTACACAACAAAAAACCTGAAAAGTTAAGTTTTCCCAAGTATAAACCCAACTACTCAACAATGTAATGAAAAGCAAGTATCTTAAACTATAATATAAATATCCTTTTATCCTTTTCAAATACTGCTATTTCTCATGTCCACACTTCAGTTTTCAACCTTCACATGAAGAATGTTAAGATCTAATATCTCAAAAGATGATTCCATCGCTTTCATGAATTCTTCCTAGGAGACAAAATGCCACATTAAAATAAGTTGGGCTCCAAATCTCCAATGTGAAACCAAGATTGAGATTTTTAATGTATGCTACACATAGAGAACGAGAAAGAAACATAAGATTCTGCATAAAGCATTGACCTTAAGCAAGAAATTTGCTCCTGCCACCAGACAATCCATTTCATCTTCCTTGTCAAGACTAACGCCAAGCCTTTGTTTAAAGAGGTCTGCAAACTTGAATGCACCACCCCCTGTGGCCTTTTACAAGATCAACTTTATCAATAGAAAATAGAAATATGCACCAAGAACAAGTATAATTGAAATAATTAAAGAAATGAAAACAATAATAACAATTGAGGTCTTAGCTAAGCATTTCTGCCATCTAAAGTTCAAACAGATCACTTACTGAACAACCATAACCATAACTAGATGACAGTGGACCTACTTGAAATTGCCCTTATCTACTGTGATAATTTTTTCAAGATCACACAAAAGTTACATGCTCTTCTACATACATCAAGGCTCAGACAATTTCAGGCCAAATATTCAATGTAGGGTCAAGGTCTCCCACCAATACAGAACTGACCCCAACTCCTTGGAATAGATGTTTTGAATAGCTAAAGAGAAGACTTAGGCACAACACTTACCTTGATAACAGTATTTCTATTGGCTGTAGAATCAGAAGTCCAATGGTGGCATTCAATTCCTGCTTACAAACAAAGAATAGTGGGGAAAAAGAAAAAGAATTGAAGAAAGGAAAATGGGATTAATGTAAGAAGAAAAGTAAAGAAATAAGAATAATACCACTGCAGTGAAGTTGCTTGGAGGAAATAAAATCCAGGCACTCATTTATCTTGCTTGTTTCAAACTTGACAAAGTGCAATCTTCCACCAAGGATAGGATAGCTTCGCCTATTTCCATTGGAGATCCCCAGTCTTTCCTTGACAGTTTTCTTCCTCGTATCATCAGTAGATTGATCTTCATGTCTTGAAAAATACACCAACTTGATAAGTGATCCTGTGAGAAAAGCAATCGTATCTAAGCCTCAGATATATTTTAAAAAGGCTACCAACAATTTTTTGGCTTCTTGCATTGTTGTTGAAGAACTATGATATATGATCCTGATGCATAAAGGTCAAAAAGGCAAAGAGCCAGCCAGTGGACATGAATTAAGGAGGGAGAATGGGGTATGCTGTAACACCAGGGGACCCACTATTAATATTTGAACAAGTTAACTGTCACCTAAAAATTTTCTAAGTTTAGTTAAATAATGAAATCAAAAGTAGATATAGAATTCATCAGAAACATATTATTCTCAGATTGACAGGTAATATCCTTTGGAAAAAATTTAAAATTCTAAAGAGTTACCCCAAATATCGTTAATAATCTGCTCAATTTGAATTCCTCCCCATTATTAATTCCATGATGATACACCCTAGAACCGAAAAAATAATGAAGAAGAATATGAAAAGATAAAAAAAAAGAAGTTAATATCAAGGAAAAAGCAAAACTGAACAATTAAAATCCTCCTGGAAACCAACAAAAATCCCCATGCAAGAACATTCCACAGTTTGATCAAGGAAAAGGATACGAAGAAACAGCAGAAAAAACCAATAACCAAACAACATACTATAGTATTCCTGAGGGCAAAAGCTAAATTGTGAATGATCATACCTCCAATATCAAGAGCCAAATGAGATATATCATCAGACTGATTAGGCAAGAGAATGGTAGGATCCCTTTCCTCAGGGTTGCCTTGAATGGCAGCCTTACTGAGGTCTAGCTGGGGCCTGGAACCAGAGCGGTGAATTGAACTGCCGGGCGGAAGAGCCATTTCTCTCTCACCAACCTGATCGCTCTCCTCTCTTACAGGCAAAGCTCCCTTGCTTATAGACTGCTTGTTATTGTCATTGATGTAGATATCATTATTGTCCTCAACTTTTTCTTCATTTTTACCATCAATTTCAAGAAGAGGTTCTACTGGTAGACCAGCCATTAGTCCAAATATTCCACCACACCACCAGCTGCCTAACCAGAAAAGCCAACTGTATCATGGGTCAAAGTCAGAGCCTATTTGGTCACTTACCCTACACCCAATTACCTTTGAATTTCATTAGATATGGTATTAATTATAACCAAACCAATACAAATATAAATGGGAAAACTAAGAAAGAAGTCTGTCTTACTTACACTCCAAGACTCAAGCTTTATCATATTATTATTACTAATTAACTGTAAATATTTAGATTGAAAACAAAATGGGGTTACTGAACTTCAAATGAAAAGGGTAGAATTGCTTTGAAAATGTGGTTACGATTAAGAACCAAATAATAAACATAAGGCTAACTGTAACTAAAAAAATTTTTTTTTTTGAACTCTAACTGTAACTAAATTAAATAAATGCAGGAAACCCAACTAGCAAGGCAGCTGACATTCAATGATAATGATGATGATGATGATGATAAGCAACCCCCCATAATAATAATAATCAGAAAGTAGAAATCTACGAAACAAAAATCAAAGAAAAACAGACAAACATCTAAAGACGAAAAGGGTGAATTTATGAATAAAAAGGTGCGAAAGGAAAAGACTTTGGACCTTGGGGGTTGAAACAAAAAGCTAAGAAACGACAATTAACAACAGAAGAAACAGCAAAAAACAGCGTTCAAAAGGGCAGACCTTAGATGGTTGGATTCGTGAACACAGATGCTGTGGATAGATCGAGATCGAGGGAAAGACTCGGATTTGTGAAGAGCGAAGACTATATCTTATATTATGATCACTTGGGTATGGGTGCCTTACTGGTTCTCTGCTTGGACTGAACGAGGATAATCCTACTCGCTCCGCAAAAAGCGCGTCGAGTTAGTTTTGTGAGTTTACCGTCGACTCTACATGCGGTGGAGTGGACTTTGTCCAGCCGCAGCCCCCACAAGATGGGATTTTTTTTTTTTTTTGTTTAAACATAAGATTAAAATCACATTTCATCTATCTCACCTAATACAACAAAATTTTCCGATTACGATTTTATTTTTCAGCGTTAAAATTTAAAATTAGGTTCCCAATTTAATAGTAAATAAATTTTTTTCAAGGGTAGACGGCGGTGGGTTTGGTTTCCAAATTTCTCACTGTCACCGGAGGGGATAGACTGAATGAGAGCTTCTTTGCTTTTGCAGTCCCATTTAAAAAATAAATAAATATATAAAATAAGGAAAATTTTTAACTTATATTTTTAAAATATGAGGTTGTGTAACTTGTATTTTAAGAATATAAATTAATAGTGTAATAAATATATTTTTTGTAATTTATTTATATAAAAATTAATATATATTTTAATATACTTATATATGAATAAGCTTAATTAAATGATTGATTAAATTAAAATTAAAATTTATGTTTTTAATGAAAATTAATTATAAAATAATATATTTATTATATTTTTATTATTATTAATTTATATAAAAAATTAACTTTAATTTATTAATTATTTAATTAAATTATTATTTATAATATAAAAATTAAAAATAAAATTTAATTTTATAATTTTTTATATAAATTAATAATAAAAAATATAATAAATATATGCTTAGGGCACATCAATCAGCCAACAATAAATTACCGGCCCAAGCCAGCAATATCATCATATCATATTCATATGTTATTCTCAGCCAACATTGACCCGAGTTATGAGCCGAAACTCAAACTGCTGTGAGAGTGGATCGAGTTTTGTGTTTATGATATGGGCCTTAAACACCTACGTATGGCTGCATTCATTCTTCCGATCTGCCCCCTTTTTTAAAAACCAAGTTGTGGTGTCAGGCCCAACAAATGGCTCAAAATACTTCTCCTTTCGTACAACTTTGATAAAACCGAATTTTTGAGAGTTTGTGTTTTATGTTTACAACTCTAATAGTGAGATTCACTAATAAATAACTTTATAAATTAAATCTAAGATTTAAGTTTTGATGATAACATTTAAAAATTTCTCTCAATGCATTAAAATAAAGAACAAGTGCATATTAGTATTGACTCTAAGAAATAATTAGAATATTAATTTTAAATTATATCATTTTATTTAATTAAACATAATTCAAAATTTTAAAAATTATCTTATTAAATGTTGATATATTAAAATATATAATAAATTTCTAAATTTAGATATTAACATTTAATAAGGTAATATTTTAGTTTTCAAATATAAATTGAAACTCAAATTGTTTTTGGGAATCGAAACTGATACGCACAAATCTCTTAAAATGGCTACGTAGCATATAGAATTATCAAAACATGCCACTTATTTTGCTCAGAGTGAAAAAGAGAGATTCCTAATGACCATTGCTGCTTCCAAGCATAGAATTTGGTTATGAGTTAAAGGAAGAGCACCGATTAAATAAATTATAAACTGCATCATAGTTAGACTATTGTCACAAAAAGGGGAGTGCATTTTTGCATAAAATCCATAAATAATTGTTATAGAAGAACATCAGGGACTTTCCACAACTAGGGCAAAACTTTAGTTTGCCCTACAAAATAAAAGAGAAATACAAAGGAAAAGAGAAAGAAAGTGCATGGTAAGAAAACTAAATTAAAAAGAGGAAGCGTACTGCCACCATGAAAGCATGTAAATGTAAAAAATAAAATAAAGGCCAAAGCATAAAACTAAACTTAAAAGTTAGGAAGATGAATTTAGAGTAAAGTACAGTCAATTGAATTGTAGGAAATCAGTACATCAGTGGAGATATTCAAAACAAAATAATAAAAACTAGAGCTAAAACTAGTGGCAATGTAGAGTTAAGGACAAAATTAGGAAAGTTGCTTGACAAAGTTAGATATAAAATAAGACATTGCTTGTAAAAATTGAAATGTAGATAACGCTAGACTTGTTATATGAGAGGCAAGTCCTATCTTGCTTGATTTCATTTCTGTGTATTTATAGCTGTAAATGTTGGCCCAAATGGTAACGGGAGTGAATTAGGTTTTCAAAAACTTTATGTAACTTTCAAAAACAAAACAATGAATAAGCATAAGCAATTGCAAACAACTAATTTAAACTGAAAAAATTAAAAGTTAAAAGAAGAGAAAGCTCAAACACAAGGATTTATAATGGTTCGGTCACAATTTGTACCTAGTTTACTTCTCAAGCCGCCTACTTAAGAGTTAGTTTTGGATTTAGAATCTATCTTCTAACTTTCAGGTGCAAAGTCAACCGTTTGCAACAGCTTTGTCGACGCTATCCTCCTTCAATAATTCAACCCCTTGTTACAATCTCTCACAAACCCAAACCTATCCCACAATGATGGTTTTCTCTAGATCTAACAAGGTTACCCAATAGCTTATGGGTGCTATTGAACCGTTTAATCCCTTTGTTACAAATCTCTCAACCCTTTCTATACCTCAAGGATGAATTACTAGATCTAACAAGGTTTTCCTAATCCCTCTATCACTTGTTACAATGAAAGAGAACAAGAAAATAAGAGATTTCACAAAGCACAAAGTAGAAACTTAATCACTCTTGGTTTTTCAACTTGAAGGCTATATTCTTCTTGCTTCTCCATTCGTCCAGATCTAGTTTTGTAGCTTGAAAATGCTCAATTAGTGTGTTTTACTGTTGGAACTCTTTTTTGGAATGCATATATTCCAAATATGGAAGATAAATTAATGTACCAACACAAGGGGTTGGAACTTGCCTTTGGGGGTTGAAAGTTTAGTGATTTCCTGCACAATCTGGCAAAAAATAGAATTATCAAGGGTTCCAACCTCGGAGAGACCGGGGTTGGAACCTCAACTATAGAATGCACTTTCTATTTTTGGCTCTCCATAACAAAGAAATATAATCATGCAATTAAATGGACTTTTTTCCAAAAGGAAACACATTTAAAACTTAATATTTGAAAATTAATTCAATATTACTAGGAATAAATTATATATTTACAAGTAAATCAACTTTCAATCAATTCAATAAATAATATATTTCAATTCACATTTAGTTTTCAAATTATCAAAATAAAAAATAACAGTAAATACCCAATGGTACTGTGCTAGAGATTTATGGTAATATCCCAAAAACCAACAGCAACATGAAATTTGTAATAAACTGACTAACCCATCAATGCTGTTGATCATGCTCCTAGAAGTACGCAACCACTAAGCTACTTTGTAGATGATATGGCAATAAATATTCATGTTAATTTTGGAGAAAAATCATTCATTGAACTTGACTCAATTAATGAGATCACCACATAACAATTGTTGATTATGTATTTTGACTCTTTCAAATTCAAAACAAATGAGGCATGTGACTCTTTTTAATTAATTTATTACAAAAATGAGTATAAACAGTATCTCTTAAAATCACATAAATAGAAATTAATTTCAAAATATGAAAATATTAACCTATAAAAACTTTATTTATGAGTACTTTTTAGTTTACACTTTACACATTATCGTAATTCTTATATCACTATATTAAAAATATAAATTTACTATAAATAATTAATTTTAATTAATATTTTATATATATTTCACACAGCGCAAGGAAGCACCCAAACAAAAGCCTAATTAAAAATTGATGTCATTACCATATATGGGAATTCAGAGAAGAGCATTTGCCTCATTATTCACCAAACCAAGAACAAGAATAGGATAATTCCAAAGTGCAAGCAGTTGACAGATGTGGCTGCAAACTTTGGAATTTGATTTTCACGCTCCGGATTAAGTGGTCTACCACCTGATTTAATGGAAATTATCTCTTGGTGAGGTCGAGAGTTTGAGGTCTAAGGTTGTGAAATTCTCCTTTCGCAGAACAGATATTAAAAATACTATGCATTCACCCATTACGGTGAATGAGTTGATTGGGACTCTTCCAGTTTAATCAGAAGTCTTGAGTTTAAGTTTTGGGAATGTAGTTTTGTTAAAACTCATGAGGAAGAGTTTTACCGTTCATTAGGTATGTCCGACTCGAATCTAGATTAGTCAATGATCCAATAAGTTTCTGGATACTGATGTTCATACCATAAAAATAATACTATGTATTCCCCTCCCTCGATGAAGAAAGTCTGTTGTATCCCCGGGATACAGCAGACATGGCATTCCAGCCCAATGGGAAAACACCACATCAGTTGTTTTTTGGGTTTGGGATTAATGAAGTCTGAAAAAATTGTTGACGTGGTGTTTTCCCATTGGGTTGGGATACCACGTTGCTGTAGCAGACTTTCTCCCCCCGATGGAGCGATGACGTATGCACGGAGCTCATTTCCATACCAGACACAACAGCTGACGTATAAAACGACGTGCCGTATATGCTTCCTATTGGAAAAATGACAGCCTTACCGTGGTACCTGATAATACGGTAGATGTTTCAATATTATAAAATATTATAAAATATTTTTAAAACTTCTAATAATAAAATGTTTTGATTTTTTTT